TTATATTTTAATAAAATAAATATATATGTTTAAATTATTATATGTATAAAATATAAATTTAAAGAAAATATTTATTTATTTGATGTCTATCAAATTTTAAAGGAAATTAATTTTTTTATATAATAAAAAAATATTCCTTAATAACAAATTAAAATTTTAAAATTTAAATTATAACATATATATATATATATTAATACTCACATATATAATGTAATATGTTAAAAAAATTAATTTTTAATAAAATAACATTTGTAACATACATGTTTACTTTTTGTATTTTTTATTTATTATATACGTCGATTAAAAAAATCAAAATAATAAGATTATATATGTTGATTAAAAAAAATTAAAATAGGAAAGATCGAAAGATTTATGTTATATTTAGAATTTTTATTATAAAATATATTTTAAAATAAATTATCATCTAAAAATATTTTTTATTTTATGTATTATAAACTGATCAAATATTTATTATATATAATTAAAATTTAGGCTAAAATATGTTTTTAGTCCCTTAAATTTAGGGTAAATTTATTTTTGATCCCTCAAAATTAAAATTATTATTTTTAATTCCTGTAATTTCAAAAAATCTTATTTTAGTCTTTATATTCAAATTTTGTTAAAAATTTATCAAACATTATTGCATAAAATTTATTTATTAGTGTCCCTGTAAGTGAAAATATCACATTAAATCTAATATTATTACATAACTGTCTTAATTTGTCATTTTTAGATATGTTATTGATCATCTGAGGGACTAAAACAAAATTTTTAAAAATTTTAGGGACTAAAAATAATTGTTTTAAATTTAAGGGACCAACAATAAATTTATCTTAAATTTGAGGGATTAAAAACATATTTAAACCTAAAATTTATAATAAATTATGTAAACAAATAAATATTATTTTTGAATATATAAATTATATTTAAAATTTGAATAAATAAGTATTTTTAAACATATAAATTATATTTTAAATTTATGATAAATAATTTCTATTGTAGCATAAAATTGTTTTTTATCTATTGATAATTTATTTTGAAAATATTAAATTTTAATTCATAAATAATTATGATAAATAAAAATAAAATAAGATATATAGTTAAGCAAATCTATAAAAATATTCATGTAAAAGAAAAATTTAAAAATACTTTCGTGTAAGATAGTCGTTCATATTTAATATATATAAGAGTTTATAATATAACTTTTAGATGTTAAAAAAATTATAAAATTTCATTAAATATTAAAATTAAATGATTGTAAAATAATTATTGAATTTATAGGTAAAATTTTAAAAATTATATTAATTATACAAAATACTTTATATTAATATTTGTATATTAGAAATATTAGAAATATTAAAAAATGAAATATTATGTTAAATTACAAATAAATAATCTTAAAATTTTTCTGAAATTATACGTGGAAAATTTATAATTTTCAAATTTATATAAATTATACAAATTATTTGTAAATTTAATGTTTGTCAAAAATTTAGTTTTTTTACATTCAATTCCAACAAAGAAAAAGATTAGCTACTCATGGTAGTGAGAGCAATCTCCATGTATAATGAAAGCATAGAAATAAAAGATTAAACTCAAGATCTGTGTCTCTAGATAGTCTTGAAGCTTTCCTCCTTCTTCAAAGTGTTGTTCTCTCTTTGTTTTTGTTCTCCTCTTTCTTTTTCTCTCTCTAATTCTTTATATATGTCCATGAAAATAAAATAAAGTGTGTTGTAAGTGAGCAATTCACTCAGTCCTTTCTAAATGACTGAGCGAGTTTTAGAATTCTTCATGGTGAAGAAAACTCCATTCACTAAGCTCTTTGTAGTCTGTTGAGCCCTTTTTAAAATGAATTTTTCTCGCTTTTTTGGGCCAAATCTTCTTAACCATTTCTAAATGGTTGAGCGGATTTACTCTACAACAAATTCTTGCTCTGTCTTTGATCCATTGAGTGCATATGAATTGGTTGACCAATTTTGTAAGTTTTGGAGGCCTTGGGACTTGATCAAATCTGTATGAAAAATAAAAGTTTATTAGTCCAAAATTTATAACTCTTTACAAACTAACTTATTTACACATCCTTTTGAGTTTTATTATTTTAGGGGGTTGAAATTAGGTTTTCTTTTAAAACTAGTTAAATAAGTGTCAAAAGAGTAAAATCTTATAAGTAAAAATGATACTAATTAAATTAAAGAAAAAACCTATTAACTCAAGTTAGATAAGTGTCAAAATGATCATATATTTTAGATAAAATAGACACTTATCACTAATTAAATTATTTTGAATATTTTCACATGTGTGCAAGTAGGTGCACCCTCCTGCTAATTATTATTTTACATGGGGAAATTTTAACTTTGGTTGCATGGGTGTGGAACGTGGTGCACATACGTGCCATTTGATATCTAGGAAAAAAATTCACAATTATTGAAAGTATTGTTCCAGAAATTTAGGATATTACAATTTATAAAGAAGATAAAGTTCAAAGATTTATCAGTATAATTTAAGTTTAAACTGATATATGTAAAATGAGTAAAATTTAGGGTGGGTGTGAATGTTCATTTTTCATAAAACAAAAAAATAATTAGTTTAGGGAATCTAAATAAAAATTATTTTAAGTTTTAATCGTATATAATTAATGAGAACACACATTGCGAGGGTTTAAGGAGTTGAAGTGAATTTGGAGAAGTCGAAGTGTGAGAAAGGAGCATGAACATGGACATGAACATGAACATGAAGAACCCTACTCTCCCTCTCGAGTTGATCAGTGAGATTCTTCTGAGATTGCCGGTGAGTTCCGTCATGCGTTTCAAGCTTGTCTGTAAGTCATGGCTTTCTCTTATCTCCGAGCCCCGATTTGGCCTTTCCCATTATGACCTAGCCGCTTCCCCCTCCCATCGCCTCATTCTCATATCAAACGATTATTACGCCGAATCAATCGACATCCAAACACCGCTTAACATGCACTCCGCCGTCGTGCGTTTCCCTCTCCCTCCTACCTCACCCCCTTTCCGCGACGAATATCGCCACGATCATCGCGACAAACACGAGATCATAGGCTCCTGCAGAGGCCTCGTTGTCTTATACTACGAGCGAAGCTGCGATCTCATTATTTGGAATCCATCAATAGGTGTCTACGAACTGTTACCCAAATTCGATTACGGTCTAACCCGTTTTTATCTGTACGGCTTTGGCTACGACACTGCCTCAGATGACTACCTGCTAATCCTCATTGGATTGTTCAATGAGTACAGGAGTGATGACGAGTCTGAAATCGATGATTCCGAGGATGACCAGCCTGAAGACGCTGAATGCAAAGTTAATTACCAGATTATCTGCTTTAAGTCTGATTCGTTCAACACTGGTGATGTTTTTGTTTCCTATGAGATTCTCGCTGATAAATTCAGAGGTGGGGTGCTCTTCAATGAGGCTCTTCATTGGTTGGTTTTCTCCAAGGAGAAAAGGGTTCCTGTTATTTTTTACTTTGATCTGATACAAAGGAGTTTTTCGGAGATTCCTCTGTTTGATCGTTTCACTATGGAGGAATATGATGTTAATAGTTTCAGGGTAATGGGGGGATGTCTTAGCGTGTGTTGCTCACTCCGAGATTATGCAATGGATGAAATATGGGTGATGAAGGAGTATAAAGTGGAGTCATCTTGGACCAAGTCTGTTGCTTTTGCTTCCACTGGCTTTTCCCCTATATGCATCGCTGGAGATGGTGGAATTATTGGATCAAATTTTAGTGGAAGATTGGAGAAGCTAAATGACAAAGGAGAGGTGCTTGACTATTTTGTATATGGTGAAGGTCAGTGGTTGTACTCTGCTGAGCTTCAGTCTGCTGTATATAGAGAGAGTCTAGTGTCACTCTCCAGTGTCGTCCCGGAAACAAGGGAATATGACCATGGGGAAACAAGTGAAGATGATTCTGGGGAAACAGTTTTCTATAGAGAGAGTCTACTGTCAATCTCTGGTGTCATTCCGCAAACAGGGGAGTATGAGCATGGGGAAACAAGTGAAGATGAGCATGGGGAAATAAGTGAAGATGAGCATGGGGAAACAAGTGAAGATGATCACTGGGAAACAAGTGAAGATGACCATGGGGAAACAAGTGAAGATGACCAACAGTGACAGACAAGAAAAACGAGGGTATGCAACTATGCATTGTTCTCCAATCCTTTTTAACATTATATTCTTGTTAATCTTGCTTTGTGGGAAATCTATAGTTATAGGCAGAATGCATGGTGTGTGAAAAATTATGCTTTCACTTATTCTCTACTATCCCCATCCTTGCTGATGAATGGTAATTCTTCTTTTACTATTTTTTAAATTAAATGGTACTTGAGATTGCATGATAAGATGAGGTTTGGTGGTGTTGGAGGATCAAATATTTGATGTCTTGCTTACTTAGAAGCCACAAAAATCAAAGGCAATTTGAGTGGAAAATTATATAAGAAAAACAACTACTGTTGATAGTATAACAATTATCATTTTCTTTTGTAATTTTACGCGTTTTACTGCTAAAATCTTAGAGAGATTTCAATTAATACTCTAACATTTTCTCATGTTTCCTGTAGGCCTCGAAATATGAAGAATGTGTACCGTTTCCTTGATGTCACTTTCATACAAATGGTGGCACTGCTAGCAGAAAGCATAGAACTTGGAAGAGAATTTCAATATGTGATATTAGATTATCAAGTGTCAGTGCAGAACTAATTTAAGTATTATAACGGTGATTTCGGTGAAGTTGTAGTATTGACAGACTTTATAATTTTGCTATGTTTCAGAGTTGACAAATCGTAGTTGGTGTTGTTCATGCTATTTAGTTCCTTTTACCTTTTCCCCTCTAAATGTTATTATGTTTTCCGTTTGTTTCTCTAACTCTTGTTTACATAGTTTACAGATTCAAATCCTACTTATTTGATTATTTCCCAGTATTTAGGTGCCATTTTTGGTAAAAGCAGTTAATGATTTTTATAAGTTTATGTGTTGCTCTTTTTGACTCGAAGTTGTGGAGACGTAGTTGGATCTTAATTACCTGGGAGCTAATAAAAGGGTTAAGGCGAAAGGATTTGTAACTAATTAAGTTGTGATATGTACCAATCTTGCATACAGTTGGTTTAACCTGCTCAGGTCCTGATCAATGTTGATAAGGTTATGCAGAATTTGCTGATATTCCCGTTCATTTTTTTTCTTTGTCACGATTTATTTAGCTGCATGATCGATAACAGTGATATCATCTGATAGATCCATAAGTTACAGCTATATTCTCACTAGGCATGACAAATGAACCCAGCCCTTTGGTTACCCTCCCAAATCTGCCTCAACTTTGATGGAAAAAACCGGTGTTGACTGGATTCAGATTTAGATTTTTCTCAATTGTTAAAGTTGGGGCAGGAACAGGAAATGAAGAGCTTGCTTAAGGTTCCCTCCTCTGCATAATGAATTAATGATGTATATTAATTGGTTGTTGTTGCTCTCCGTGTCTACGATGGGGTTGGCTGAAGGGTTCAATGAAACAAAAAGGCTAGCAATCTTGAATAGAGATGGGAACGCGAAGTGTAGCAGAGAGAGCTGACTTTGAGATGGAGCTTGACTCGTAATTTTCGTGAATCTGAAGCACCGTCATCAAACTATATTTTGATGTAAATGTTCTCCTGAACGGCTTTGTTAGTGTTTCTGCTACTTTATAGGAATATGCTCAATAGTTCGTATTTCTTGTTACAATTGCATCTAAAGCTATGGCAAATATGTAACTATGGAAGTAGCATTACATGGTGTTTGGTTTGGTTGGGGGAGGAGACATTTTTATATTGTTTGATTTAATTTTTAGTAGAGAAGAAATGGGGAAATAGAGGGGAACAAAACTTGTGCAGCAATTGCACTAGCATTAAGCACGCTAACCATTGTAACTGAATTTAGAACTGAAATCATTATCTGAAACAGTTCCAATGCTTTCATAGGCATGAAACAGTTTTTAGCAGGCATTGCACAAAACACGGAATTTGTTTATGAAACTGGCAAATTTATGTACATCCAACTGAGTTGTTGACATGAATAATTGATTCATAGCCATATCATAGAATATGGGCATGAATCTTCTTATCCTTCCGGAGAGAGCAAACTGATAGCTCTGATACAACTCCAGCCTCGAGCACATACGTATATGTGAACCTATCTGATGGGATTCCTAGCCAATTCAGACATTTATGATTCTTTACAGTTCCATCAAATAACTTGCGAACGTGATCAGTAGACCCAAGGTCATAAGTACATGGTGATAAGTTTAGGCACCAGCTGCTCTTTTTGTTAAGAAAATTATTGAGCAAGATACTGAAGCATTGCAACATTATACTCCTTCCGTTAATTTTTTACATTTAAGGTTTATGTACAAGAATTAAGAAAAAGAATTAAGAAAATGAATGATATTTTAGTTTTTTAAAGTATTTATTACTTATTTTTCATTTATATCCTTTAAGTGATTGAAGAAGAAATAAGTATATTAAAAATAAATAAACACATTATTCAGTAAATACACATTAATTATCAAGGATAAAAATGAAAAGGAAAATTAATAAGTCATTAATTTTATAAAAATCACAATGAAAAAATAATAATATCAAAATGACTATGAATAAAAAATAGAGGGAGTAAATAGCTTTAAGATTTTTTTTAGCATATTAATTACTGCTTAAGATACTTAATATTATAGTTTAGTCCAAGTCCTCTTTTCCTAGAAATTTTAAATTCTTGGTATTTGAATTACTTTGATTTCAATTTCTATCATTCTTAAAATATTTTGTTTGGATGAGTCAATTCAAATTTCTTAAATTTTAAATTGTTAGGTTGAATATGATAATTTTATTCCATCATAGTAAAATTGATTTTAAAAATATATTTATATGTTGAGATTTTTAAATTAAATTTTATAAAAATAAATATTAATCCATTTTTAAATATTTATTAATTTTAAAAATTAATATTAGATAATATTTAATAATTTAAAAAATTAATATTAGATAATGTTTAACAATTTTAAAAATATTTTTGAATATCTAATAATTAAAAAAATGAAGAGATAAGATAAAATATATAGGTGAAATAAGAAAAACAAATATGAGAAATTTCAAATTCTTCCATTTTTGAGAAAATTTGAAATTCTACAATTTTAAAGAATTTCACAAATGATTGAATTTCAAATTCTTTGTAAATTCTTCATCCAAACAAAGCATTTCACTTTAAGAAATTTAAAATTTTTCAAATAAATGAATTATCTCGAATAAATTCTTCATCCAAAAACACGGATACTGCTATGTGAGCTCCAAAATGCAATATTGAGATATCTCATTTCGTGCGTGACCAACGCCAGACGTTACAGCGTTAATTGCCCATTTACTAATGTGAGCCATAAATTCGATTTGAAATCTGAACCCATTCTTTGTCTATGATATGTGGTATTTGCTCAGTAACAAAATATTCTTTTATAATATATTAATATGTTAAATTATACTTTTGAATTTTTTAAGATTTATTTTAATCTTTTATCTTTTAAAACATTCATTTTAATTTTTTATTTTAGTATAAGCAAAATGGGTTATATTGAGTGGATTGACCTATCAACTAACCCAAAAATGACAGGTCAGGCTAAACAATCTAACCTAGCAATTTGCTGTGATTCACCTCACCTAACTCGCCAATTCATTGGGTTGGGATGAGTTAACCCATCTTTTTTTAATTAAAAAATAAAAATTTATTAAAACTTTAAACTTAAAGTTTTTACAGTGTAAGTTTTTTTCCAGGTTTAAATGTTCTTTAAAAAAATCAAAAAATATATTTGTTATTATTGTTAGTTTATTTTATATATTTAATTTCTCTAATACTAAAAAAATAATATTCAAATAAATTTTAGAATAAATTATTAATTTTAAATCATTTAAGTAAATTTGTCAATTTAAATTAATTTTATAAAATAATTTTTTTCTCTCCTTTTCCTTATTTTTATTTTTATTTTTATTTTTAAATTTGATAGGTTGATTTGTCAATCCACCTTTAGAAAAGACAGGTCAATATGTCTGGTATGTTTTTAATTGATGGATCAACCCAACTTGTCTCAATTTTGAAAGACTAACTGTGAGTTGAATCCAAACGATTGGACTGATCAATTTTGTCAATTTATTTATTTCTTAATTTATGATCGATTTAATAATTTTTAAATATAATAATTATTTTGAATTTAAGACACATTTTGAATATTTTTTTATTGATTTAAAATTTGAAATTTATATCATTAAATTCAATCAAATAAAAATTATTGAATGAAGTTGAAACAAAAATATATCATAAACATAGTAAAAATTGTATAAAAATAAGTCTAAAAGGAATTTTAAAAAAATTAATATATCATATTACTTTTTTAGTTGCTCATAGATACAATTTTAACATGATTTTCACTATGTCAATAGTTTTTTTTTTGTTTAAACATCAATTTTTATATTGGTAAACTTATTATTACAAGTTTCATATCTTGATGAATCATTTGAAATAATGTTGCAAAAGTGAAAATTATTATTGTTTTAAAAAATCTAAATTGATCCAAAATATAAAAAATAAATGACTAAAATGAGCACTTTAACAAATAAATTATTATAATATACCTTAAATGAAAGATAAAGAAACAAAAGTATAATGTAACCTATATAATATATAATAAATTTATCTTTATTCTAAAATATATATAATAGATCGTAAACTATTTATATATTTTATTTTAAAATTTATACTATTAATAAAAGGATATCTCATTTTAGTGTACACAAATTTAGATTAATTTATATTTATAACTACGTTTAAACGACTAAATCACTTTTTTTTTGGTTAATTATTTATTTTCTTTTTACTACTTTAATAATATTCAGTTTTCAAAATTTTTACCATTTAAATACTTCATCTGTTTTTTTTTGTTTGACGTTTAAGGTTTATATACAAGAATTAAGAAAATAATTGATATTTTAGTTTTTTAAAATATTTATTACTTATTTTGATGTTTTACCCTTTAGGTGGTTAGAGAAAAAATAGGTACATTAAAAATAAATAAACAAATTATTTAGTAAATACACATTAATTATCAAAAATAAAAAAAATAATAAGTCATTGATTTTAGAAAAGTGATAATAGAAAAAAGAAATAAAAAAATGTCAAAACAATTATGAAAAAAAATGAAAGGAGTAACTACTTATTATTTATTTATATCTTTAAATAAAAAGACATGAAATGTCTAATTTTTCCTAGTTAAATATAAATCCATTAATATTTAAGTGAAACTAAAAATAAATATAAATCAATAGGTATCTTCATGACCATGTTCATTCCATTGGCCCATCTCAAAAGGACATTTTGACTTTTAGAGACAAGTTCAAATTATCTTTTATGAGGTTCCAATTCGATTCATTGTATGCATTTAATATTTTAAATAGTTATTACTATGTATTAATAAATAATAAATGATAATATATTATTTTGCTTGATAAATAATATTTTATTTTTACAATGATATTATTTATTTTAAAATATATCATAAAATCAATATTAATTGTAATTTTATATTACTTTAACTATACATTAAACTCTGATTAAAAAACAATTAAATTATACTTTCGATTCTTTGTTTTATTTATTTTTTATTTTTCAAATTTTATTTTAATAATTTCTTTTAAATTTGAATCGAGGAGATTTTCTTTACCTTATAAAACTCTTCAGCCCCGTAATTTAAAAACAAGTTAACGGTGGATTATTCTTTTAATGATATTTATTGTCCGGTTATTATTTATATTTTTAAATAATATAATAATTAAATTTTTATTCTGTAAATTAGAGGGGTCGAGACATTTCGTATCTATAATAATTACACACAAACAAATATTATAAATTATGGATAGTTATTTAAAAAATATATAATTTTTTTTATATTCAGGAGATATAATCGTCCAGTAAAAAGTGGAGATTAAAAGGGGTGTATTGGTTTATGATTTCATAAGATTTTAAAAGATTTTTTTTAGTAAAAAAGTCTATTCAATTAGGATTTTATGTCACTTAAAAACAATCCAGTGGTATTCAATATAGATTTTCAAGATTTTTTAAAGAGTCGATTAAAATCTATTGGTTTTCATTTGAGATTTTTTATAACTTAAAAACAATCTATTGGTATTCAAAAATATAAGGATTTTAAAGGATTGTTATATTAGAGGGATTTTGAAAGATTTTCTAGTGTTATCTATAAATACCAAATTCATAAAATAATTCCATCCAAACCCATCAAATTTTAAAGGATTATTTGAAGTGACTTTTCAAGTGCTTCAAGAATTTTCAAGTGAATTTTTCATCTTTTTTTTTTCTCTATGCTTCTGTCTTCTCTATTTTTTCTCTACTGATAATATTACACTATTGTTCATTGCTTATATATAATACTATTGTATTGTTCCCATTCCATTCCCCTATTTTGTGAAGCTCTGATATGTAAATGATAATGTCATTGACTTGTTTTATTTTTCTCTTCATTATCTTTAATTGACTTGCTCTATTTTATAACACACGTCAAGAAAATCAAAAGGTGAAAAATGAAATTGATATCGTAATCCGTACAATATATATATATATATATATATATATATTTTTTTTTTGATGAATTATGCTCCAAGACTTTGAAACTTAAGTGATCTGTACCCTCCCACTAATATTCTATCAAAATACTAACAAAATTCTCACATGTTATGATCCGAATTTTTATATTAATTTTTTTGTGAGTGATGTCTTTTTTTTAAAAAATTAATAATAAATTACAATTATACTTTGTACATGAAACTTTTGCCTTTTTGTCAAATTTCACTTTTCGTGTATTTTTTCTTGCGAATTATATTTTAAAAAAACTGAGACTTTTACAATTTGTGTTAAACATGTCACATTATCACATTATTAATATTTATATATATATATATATATATTCTCTGTATCTAAATATTTCTGTTTATATTAAAAATTTTATATATCTAAATATTTTATCAGTATCGAATATACTAATTTTTTATATAAAAAATTATCTTATGTTTCTATATTTTCATTTTTACATGTTTTTTTATAATGGTCAAGGTATTTGATCATTCATCTTCAACATTACCTGTTAATGAAGATCATACTTTTGAGCTTATTATTCAAACTCATGAACAAGAGCGAGAAGACGCTAATGCTTAAAGGACTAGTATAATCATGTATATGTATGTGAATGTTATTTTAGAAGATATGATATTATAGAGAATAATAATAATAATTATTATTATTATTTATTTAGACATTGTTATTTTTTATTATTTTTGTCTTTGATTCTTTTTAAATTTGAATTTATGAATTTTTTTTTGAAATTTTATTATATGTCAAAAATCCATGAAAATTCTACAAAATTCACAAAGTCTCGTAAAATTCATTAAATTCCTGATATAAAAGTCTTGTAGAATCTATTAAAATCCCGATTTAAAATTTTGTAGAATCTTTCAAAGTCTTAAAAATTATAAAAATCTTATAAAATTTTTAAAATTTGCAGGATTTTTTTTAAATAATTTTTTTTAAATTTTAATCTAATACACCCCCTTAAAAATGTGGTTATTAAAATATATTTCTTTTATAATATGTATATATAAAATAAAATAAAACCGTTGAAGACAACCATGCATTTCAATTTTTTATTTTTTTTCGTTGGAAGAAGTAAAAAAGGGTCCAAACTCCCAACCCAACCCAACCCAACCCAAGAACCCTATAAATATATAGGTAGTGGAGGGAATGATTATACATCTAGTCTCGAAGTCTAGTCCAGTCAAGTTTAGGGTCTTACCATGCACTCTGCTGCAGCGAAACGCAAAGACCGTGGAAGTAGCATGAACAACCCCACTCTCCCTCTCGAATTGGTCGCAGAAATTCTTCTGCGCACACCGGTCAGATCCGTTCTGCGTTTCCGATCTGTCTGTAAGTCATGGCTTTCCCTCATTTCCGATCCCCATTTCCGCGTTTCCCATTACGACCTAGCCGCCGCACCCACCCACCGTCTCCTCCTCCGCGCAGACGATTTCTACGCCCAATCCCTTCCCATCGAATCGCCGCTCGAAACATATCACCACCACGCCGCGTATTTCCCTCTCCCCCTTCCGTCGCCACCGTCCAAATCCGCTCCCAACGTTCAGGACGATTTCCACAACCAACCCGAGATTCTGGGTTCGTGCAGAGGCCTCGTACTCTTATACTATCCCTGCAGGGAAGACCTAATTGTATGGAACCCATCCACCGGTGTCTACAAACGATTTCCCAATTCGAACATTGAATATGGCTTGCCCTACCATCCTTATCCCTATGGCTTTGGCTACGACCCTTCAAAAGATGATTACTTGCTCGTTCTCGCTGAGTTTCCCGAGTGTGGTCCTGTTGAGACCAGAATCTGCATTTTCTCCTTCAAAACCGAGTCTTGGAAAACCCAGACTATTTCTAATGTTTCGTATGAGGATCTTGATGATAGGTTCAACCATGGGGATAAGTTCAAGGCTGGACTGCTCTTCAATGGGGCTCTCCATTGGTTGGTTTTCTCCAGGGATAGAATGGTTCCCATGATTATTGCCTTTGATTTGGTGCAAAGGAGTTTGTCCGAGATTCCTTTGATAGATCATATGACTTCGGAAGATTTAGAATATGAGACCTACAGTTTATGGGTAATGAGAGGATGTCTCAGCTTGTGCTGCTCGGTCCGAGGCTATCAATTGGCTGAGGTGTGGGTCATGAAAGAGTATAAAGTGAAGTCATCTTGGACTATGCTTTGTGTTAATCCACCTTATGACTTCTTTCCAATATGCAGCACTAAAGATGGTGGGTTTTTTGGATCAAGTAGTGCTGAAGGTGAAAGATTGGAGAAACTTGACCACAAAGGGGACATTGTTGATTATCACGACTATGGTGGAGGTGGAGGGTCGTACTGTGATAATCTGCAGTCTGCTGTGTATAGAGAGAGTCTACTTTCACTCCCCAGTGTCGTTCGGGAAACGAGGGAAATTGATAATGTGGAAACTAGTGAAGATGACCATGAGGAGACAAGTGAAGATGATTATGGGGAAACAAGTGAGGATGACCAACAGTAGCAGACAAGAAAAATCAGGGTATGCATTTTTCTCCAAACCCTTTAACTACCATTATACTTTTATTCATCTTGCATTATGGGAAATTAAATTGTATATGCTGAATGCATTTTCATTCACCTACTTTCTGCTCTCTCCATGCTTGCTGATAATGCTTTTTCTATTTTTCAAATTAAAATGATACATTAGGTTGCATGGAAAGATGGTGGTGGATTCAATTTACCTTCCCATTAATACTTCTTTTTATATTTTTTAAATTAAATGATACATGAGATTGCTAAGAAAGATGAGGTTTTGTGGTGGTGGATTCAATTTAACTTGTTTAGATAGAAAATTATTTGATGTCTTGCTCACTCACAAGCTACTTTAATAGGCACAGGCAATTTGAGTGGAAAATTATAAAAGAGAAACAACTACTGTTTAGAGGAAAACTATTAAGATTTCCCATGAGATTTTACCATGTTACCATTTTACTGCTAAATCCTTATAGAATGTAAAATTCAAACATTTAAATAAGCTCATGTTTCCTGCAGCCCACCAAATATCCAAGAATATGTGAAGCTACCCTGATGTCACTTTCCTACAGATGGTGACACTGTTAGCAGAAAGCATAGTACTCAGAGGAGGATGGCATATATATGATATTAACTTATCTGGTGTTAGTGCAGAACTAGTATCAATTTTAATGATGATTTCAGTAAAGTAGGATTATCAACATACTGTAATTTAACGATGTTGCAGACTAGGAGTTGGCAAACATGCTATTTAGTTCCTTTATCTTTTTCCCTCCAGTTTGTTGTCTCTCTTGCACTCTTTTACCAAATTTTCAGATTCATACCATGCTAGATTATCCCAGTATTTATGTGTTTTCTTTTTTTGGCAAAAAGCTACTGTTTTATATAAGTTAATGTGATGTGCTCAATTTTGGTAGTGGCAGTGATGTCGTTGATCTTAAACGCGTGGAAGCTAATAGAAGGGGTAAGATTAAAGTGTCGTAATTAATAAAGTTGTGATTAAAGGGTTGTAATTAATTAAGTTCTGATATGATCGATCTTGCATGCAGTTGGTTTAACTTGTTCACATCCTTATCTAGTGTTGATATGATTTTGGTCATACCTTAATGATATCCCTAAAGATACTTTGATTGCCTGTAAAATATAGCTTATGTAGAAATTGCTAGTATTTCCATTCATTTTCTCCCCTTGCCACAATTTATTTAACTGCATGATCGATAACAGTCGGATAGAATCTGAAAGATAAACCATTTTTTGCTATACTCGCGCATTCTTATCAAGCACTCTTTGTTCCTTCGAAATTTCACCACGTTTTCCATATATGGGATACCTTCTCCCCCAAGCTGTTGTAGGTCTCTATTTTTAATGAAATCATTTTGTACTTTACAACTTGTATATATATTATGATTTAGTCTTTTAACTTCCGTAGGTAACTGCAAAAAGTTATAATTTTATTGCAAATAAAAAAAATTTACTACTTACATAATTATATGTTTTTCTCTCTCTTTTCTTATCTCTTGTTATAGTTGATACAAAATTGTTTATAAAGTTTTTATAGAAAATAGAGGCACAAACTCACTAGTTGTTAAGTAAATGTTACGAATTGGCAATATAAAATCAAGACTCCTTCTAAGTATATAATATGTATAATACATCTATAACAATATATAAATGATACTTTTGTTTGGTCTCCAGTATGTTTAGACATTTATCCTCATTTATTGTATTTTAATATTTTTCTACCAATTGTGAGAATCAAATTGTGTAAATATGATAATCAATATATAAGTCTCTAGAGCATCAAGCTTCTTTCTAGAACACTAACAACTTTGATTTAAAATGAACATTATTTGTAGGGACATAATCATTGATTTAAATCGCATTTTATATTTCAAATTTTTATTTTATCGCAAACATTCCCTATATAATTTTTATCATGGGTTTTGTCTCAATTTTGATAATAGTGTGAATTGTATCCTCCGTTAATTGTTTATTGATGTAATATTAAGTTTAGTTGTATTTTATGCGTCCAAATTTTTAAGTAATAGCAAATTTTGTCATAAATAATTTTTTTCACAAATTTTACCTCCCATATTTTGAGAATGTTGTGATTCTTGTAACTTGTAACATGACGAGACTATTATAAATGACATTTTGAGTTTGTATTAATATTCATATTAAATAACTTATAAATATTAAAAAATTTAATTCAATATATCAATACAAATATCCCATAATACACGTGCAATTGATATGCATATAAACATATTAATGCAATTAATATGAATATGATATGAATGTATTAATAAAATTAGGAGAAATAATAAATTAACATTAATTAGGAGAAATACGTTAATTTGGCTGGAATTTGCTATAAAAACAAATATTTATTTTATATAGGTTAAGCTACATTAATAAATTTGATACAATAATAATAATAAATGTTTATATTTGTTTAAATGGATTAGTTTGTTGAGTCTAAAAGATTCTTTAAATAGACTAGTATTTAATTTTTAAAATAAAATTGTACTTTTAAATCAAAAGTCAATTAGAGTGAACTTATTGATTATATATGTGCATATTATTGTGTAACAAGATACAATAGTTTAATAACACACATATGCAAATCGTTGTTGTAATTTTTATCAACTATTACATTATTTAATAATTTTTAGTTAAAAGTTAATTTTTCAAAACTCACTATTATATTTAAAGTTCCTTATTCTTAGAATATATAATATATATATATATATATATATATATAGACACATACAAAAAAAATTGTATATTAATCAAAGATGGTTTGATATCTCATTCCTATAGAAGAAAATTGATGTAGTATACATATTTTTAAATATACTAAAATATAAATAATTTAATTACTTTTAAATTGTTGTTCAATTTTAACAAAATTGATATAAACATACAATGCAATATGAAGTTATAATTCAGTGAATGAATCGATAAAATTCATGTTTAATCGAAAGTTATTGAGTGATGTAATAATTGATAAAAAAAATACTTCATTGTCGCTTGAACTCTCCTCTTACACACACATATATATGAGGCTATCACTTGTTCTAAGAGTAAGTCTACCTACTTAATCTACTTAATAACTTTGTTCTACATCAAATTTTAATGATCAAACTATTAAATTAATTTTTTAATACATAAATCAAGCTTGTAATTTTTTTTAAAAATTTGAAAACTATTTGATATCTTGTTTCATTAATTCAAATCAATAATTTTTAATTTTTTAAAAAATTATATATTTTTAATATTAAATAATTTTTAATTTTTAAAAAAATTTACATATTTGATTTATGCATTAAGAACTTCTAATTCGACGGTTGAATTACTAAAACTTGATGTTGAACATGATTTATTGAATGAAATAAATAAGTCTAGATAGACTTATTCTTAGGATGAGTGAATCCTTTTTCTCTCTATATAAAGAGGGATGACAAGTAACTTTTAATAGATTTACTCCACTTAATAACTTATATTTTATATTAATTTTTAATAATTTAATTATTGAATTAAAGATTTTTTTTCTATATTTTAAAATACTACTACTTTTATTGTTTAATATCACAATCAAAGAATAAAAATCATAAAAGAAGAAAATAGTTATATTAAATGAATGTTAATTAAAATAGTTTTTTTTTATATTTTTTTATAAAATAAATGGAAAAATATATATTTTTTACTTTAGTAAGTGATTCTTTATCTGATCTCTTATCTTAAAAGTTTTTTTTTTAATTAAATTGTTCTTAATTCCTCTTTTTATCTATTTCTTTTCGCTGGATACAAACAAATATTAAATAATTAGATTTTGGAAAAAAAGGATCATACTTGTCTGAGTATAATAATGACCTAGCCTTTGATTATTGGTTAAATAAAATGCATAAGAATTAATATAAAATGAGATATTTATTTATTTAATAAGAATAAGAGAATAACGTGTAAGTAAAATAATTTCTAAATTAAAGAGAATAAAAAAATTAAATAAATTAATTAAGATAAAATAGAAAAAATTATAAATTTAATTATAAATTTTTTTAATTAAATCATTAAAATTTGATATAAAAAATAAAATATTGAATATGATATTTTGACATCTCCATTCACAATATATATAAACCCCCTCTTAATGTTACGATGAGACAAATTATACTTTTTTAAATATTTTAAATTTTGGAGTGTAATTACTAATTTCTTAAAGCATTCTTTCCTAGTAGAACAAACATAATAGACAGAAATCAAGTTATACAAATGTTGGAATTTATTTATTTTTTGCTTGGTCACAAGTCAGAATGAAACACCGATACTTCAATTTGTTTCACAATCTGTATCCCATATGATATTGTTGGATACTTTATCGATATGTGTTGGTGAAGTATCATAACCCTTAAAAATATTATAAAAATTTTATTTAATTTTGATACTCTAAGATATTTTACCGATACTTATTGATGATACATATCGATAAAGTATCCAAATTTTTAAAAAATTATGAAATATCCATTACAGTTAAATAAGATATATAAATATGTTTAATGTAGAAACATAGAAATATTGTCTTTGATAAACCGTAAATAAAAAATTATCTTCTATATAGATAATTTTAAAAAAGAAATAAAATTAATAAAATTATTTTTATTTATAAATAACATAAAATAATTTATAATAAAATAATTTATAATTTATTTATTTTTAGTAATATATAATAAATATATTTTTAATTTGAATTTGTAAAATAATAATTATATATTAAATGTTTATGAATTTGATCAAAATTACGAATACATTTATTATATTACATAAATATTAATGCATACGATGACATAGTTTACATATAACGTATTCTATATATTTGAAAATCTTATCGCTGCATCCGGTACGTACACGCGTATCGTATCGGGCAGTGCATGATAGCACGCCACTATTTGAGGGGAAAATTATATGAAAATTGTAGAATTTCTCAAATTATATAACAGAAACACAGCGAGGTGGAGTATTAAGGTGTGGGCCACTCCGAACAAAGGGATCAAAACCGTTTCCCTCATTCAGGAACTCGTCTCCAAGGTTCTTTCTCTGCTTTTATCTAATTAAATGTTTCTTGTTTCAAGTTGAAGAATTGTGATGGTAATTTTGGGCATTGTTATTGTCATTGATTGTCCATAAGGGGTGAGAAGGGTCAGGAGGAGAGGGAGTTCAGGGTGATTGTGCCGTAGATACGAACAGTAGCAGCGGTTTGGCTGTCGGCAGGGAGGATAGGGAGTTTAGGGTTCCGGCGCCGGCAACCAAGGGTTTCTGGGGAGGTAATGCTACGGTGTGAATGATGCATTATAATAGTTCAAGACTCATCAATTGTGGTGCATGCTAGATCACTTATGATACTGGTTCACCTTAGAAGCCGTCTTATTTTATATCTATTTATGTTACCTTAAATTATGTAGTTTAACTGGTATCGTCATTGTAATTTTTATGAATAAAAAAAACATGTATCATTATAATATGAACATTGGTTTGATTTGATTTGGGTCAATTTTGGAGATGCATGTTAAAATTTGAACCGAATCAATCAATTTGACCAAAATAACGTCTAAACAAATCTAAAAAATATTGTTTTGTAGGTTGTCGGCTGTAGGTTAATTATTTATTTATTGGTTTGTATTTAAACAGGCCCAATTGCATCTTTTGCTGTAGCAACATAACCACTGGATGTAAGTTCTTAGTTGGAGAAGCTCTTCTGTCTTTGTTTATGAGAGCATGGAAGGAAGGATCATGAATAACCCCACTCTCCCGCCCGAGCTGATCAGAGAAATTCTTCTGAGACTGCCAGTGAGATCTGTTTTACGTTGTAAGTGTGTTTGTAAGTCATGGCTTTCTCTGATTTCTGATCCCCAATTCAGCATTTCCCATTATGACCTAGCTGCCAATCCCTCTCATCGAATTCTTCTCAGAGCAAATTATCTTTATGCTGAATCCATTGATGTAGACGCACCGTTTCACTCAGATTCTTCTGCGGTGTATTTGCTTTTGCCCCCACTATCACCCCCACACAATCCTTGCCATTATGATGCCTTTCAATTTGATCCTGATATTTGGGGTTCATGTAGAGGCTTTATACTTTTATACTACCGCAGATGCAGATGCGCTGAAATCATTTTATGGAATCCGTCAATAGGCGTCCATAAACGATTGCCAAATGTTAAACATTATTATATAACCAATGGTTATCTACGTGGTTTAGGGTATGACCCATCAACAAATGACTATTTGGTAGTTTGTATTAGATTGTTGCGTGATGAAACCACAATCCTGATTTGCTCCACCAAAACTTATTCGTGGAACATAGCATACGGTGATGTTTTATACCGTGTTCGAGATAATAAATTCAGAGCTGGGTCACTCGTCAATGGGGCTCTTCATTGGTTGGTTTTTTCCAGGTATAAAAAGGTTCCTGTCATTCTTGCCTTTGATCTGATACAGAGGAGATTATCAGAGATTCCCCTGATAGATCATTTAACTTCGAAGAAATATGAAGTTTATTGTTTAAGGGCAATGGGGGAATTTCTCAGTGTGTCTTGCTCAGTTGAAGGCTGTGCAGAGGATGAAATTTGGGTGATGAAAGAATATAAAGTGCAGTCATCTTGGACAAAGTACATGGTTATACCTACTTATGAGACACAGTGCAATCGCTTTTCTCCCATATGTTTCACCAAAGATGGTAGAATTTTGGGATCAAATATCGGAGGAAGACTAGAGAAACTTAATGACAAAGGAAAGGTGCTTGAGATATTCACATATGGTGGATATGAAAAATTATACTGTGTTAATCTACAGTCTGCTATGTATAGAGAAAGTCTACTGTCGATCCCTAATGTCATTAGAGAAACATGTGAAGATGATCAACCGTAACAGACAAGAAAAATCAGGTTATACACTGTTCGTCCCTTTCATATATTTTCGACACTCCCCATCCTTGCTGATAATACATCTTTTTATATTTTTAAAATTAAATGATACATGAGACTGCATGCGAAGCCGAGGAACGGTGGTGTTATTGGATTCAATTTACTTTGCATAGATATAATATTGGATATCTTGATTAATCACAAACCATGATAGTCAAAGACAATTTGAGTGGAAAATTATACAAGAAAAACAACTAATGCTTAGAGTAAAACAATTAGGATTTCCGTGTGATTTTACAATATCACTGTTTTACTGCTAAGTTCTTTAGTGAATGTCCAATTAATATTCTGTCATTTACAATAAGTTCATGTTTCCTGCAGGCCACAAAATATACAAGAATATACAGTTACCTTGATGTTTTTCCTTCAAATTGTTAAACTGCCAGCAGAAAGCATAGCGCTTGGAAGAGAATGTCGTATGTATATGATATTAAATAATCTTGTTAGTGCAGAACTAGTGTCTATTTTATTGGTGATTTCAGATGAGTTGTAGTATCAACAGACTTTACATTTTAACCATTTTTCAAGGTAGGAGTTAGCAAATCCTAGTTGGTGTACATACTATTTAGTGCCTATATTTTTTTTTCTTCCTGTTAATGTTATTATGTTTGCAGTTTGTTTCTCTAAGGATATTTCAAATACTTTTGAGATTCAAACCCTTTTTATTTGATTACTTTCCTTGCCCCATAACCAATAATAACCCCATTACCATACATGTTATCGTATGGCGTGTGTTTTTATGAATAACTTTTCAGATTTCATTTCAAAGCCGTACAATGTTTAGTGAGAGATTTTTTTTTACCGAATCTAGGGGCGCTTTTGGACATATATTCGTTTTTTCATTCACGTTAACCTGGCTTTAAATTACATCTCAATTCACAGTTCAGTATCATAATCAAAAGTGCCATTTCTGCAACAACTCAAGGATTTACACAAATATAACAATTGACAAATTGAATCTCTAATATGACCACATCCTTAAATTATTACTAATAATACATGAATCACGTATCAATTTTTTCAGCAGTAGTCACTATATGGGTGCATATTCACCATGCTAATTTTTCTATTCATATCATAACCATATTACAATTTCCATCAAGAAAGTAAGATCTTCATTTGGATGGAATTATTAGTGAATTGTGCATGGATAGCTACTATTTAGTTAAGGAGAAGCATTCTTTGAAGAAGTGGAGGGTGTGTCAGGACTGCTGGGTGGAGGGAATAGTGGAGGGAAAGGAAAGGGAAAAGCTGGTGGTGATGATGATGGAGTTGAACCCGGTTCTGTTGGGAAAGGAAACAGTGGTGGTGATGTTCCTGATGAGGGAGGCTGGAATGGGTTAGGAACAAGTGGTGATGGGCCTGGTGGCTGTAATGGGTTAGGAATTACAGGAGGTGGCTGAAGAGGGTTGGGGACTAAGGGTGGTGGTTGAAATGGGTTGGGGACAATGGGTGGTGGAAACAATGGGTTGGGAGGAAATATGAGGTTATTAGGGTCGGCTATTTTCTGCTCTGAAGGTTGAACATTTGGGGACTCATTAGTAATTCCTGCGGGGACTGGTGGTGACCATGGTATTCCTGGAAGGTTTAGAAGAGGAGGGAGGGGTGGCAACAATGGTGGTAGGGTTGGTAATCCAGGAAGGGGAGGAAGAAGACCACCAGGTGTGTTTGGATCTTGAAGTGGTGGAGGAAATGATGGATCTATTTTTGGAGGAAATAAACTTTTCACATCATCAAGGCCCTTGATATTTTCAGTGCTGGGTTTCTGGTTACAAAGATTTGGCTGTTTTAGAGGCTTGAATGAGAAAAAACCAGCTGAGAATATGTGTAGTCCTTGCTTTCTGGATTTGAGGCGTAGTGATGAAGAAGTTGCTGCTGAGGCCACTGCACAATAAGGCTCACTGCTACTTATTAATTTCACAGTGCATCCCTTGATTCTTTTCACATGTTTACTCACTGAGAAAGGTAACTGCACCTTGAACTCACCATGCTCATCTGTCTTCACTTCTTTCCTGAACCTTGGCTTTGAGCTCCCATAACCATCTTTGCATTCTACAGCTACTGATGCACCTGCACTCAAGAATGTAGAAAAATATTAGATGACATACCTTCAGCTTCGAAATCTATACAATGCCTTAAGTGTCAGCTGATTTAGCAGGTAGAGATATGAAATTGAACCCTTTCATATATATGGCAAGCAGTGGAAGAATGTACCTGAAATGTAGTGGCTGCCCATGGAGAAATCCTGTTGGAAACATGTGTCACAGTAAACAGTGCCAACCACAACAGCAGAAGGAGGCATCTTGTCATGGCTAGACTCAGATTGAATAGCACCAAATGTGAGACTGAGAAACAGTAGCACAAGGAACCAAGACATTCTCTTAGAAATTCTTGTCTGAGTTAAGGCTATAGTTGGTGATTCTGCTTCCAAATAAATAAAGAGGGTCTATATCTTGTACACTATTCAATATGTTTATACCTCTTTATTTTACTTCCTTTTCTTTTCTCTCGGTGTCTTTGATAAAGTGAATCATACACAATAAATTTTTACAGCCTGACAAACAAGGCTATTTATGTCGATCATGCAAAAACCAGTCAACTGTAAACTAAATTGCAGTAATTGTAGGCTTGTTTTCCCATCACCAAACAGTTAGGACAGAAGGTAATTTGGTGGGTGGAAAGGTTAGATAAAGAGAAGCTCTTAACTACTGCTTTATTGAATTGGATGTTTGTTTCTCTGTTTTTGTTGGTATGAAAGATAATAGTAATAATAAAAAAATATATAATAAAAAAAGGTATGGGGGACCCTGTTGGTTCACGAGATAAAGAAAGTAGCCACATAATCTGTGAGCATGCTAGACATGACCCTGCTGGATTCACATTGAGAGCTAGCACAAACTGTGAGCACCTTGTGATGCAGATATGCATGTGAGTATTTTACTATTATAATAAATTGTCTTGGGAGATTATAGTGATGAGTTATGTAGCAGACTTGGGAGATAAGCATGTTCGATAAATCATAGAGAGAAAGTTAGATTGTTGCTGAAATGACATTTGTTCTTCTCACATCAAATTAGAAGTTAAAACAACAAATATTTTCAGCTGAATATAAACGATGATATTTTTCGTACATCATTTTTTTCACAATCTGTTTTGTTTACTCAAATATTATGATATCTTTTTCCTAACTATTTGATAAATCGATGAGCACAACTTTACGTATTTGTTGAATTACCTTCGCTTATTTGTTTTTAAACTGACGTTGATGTTTGTGTTTCCTAACAGTTGATATTCATGTATTTGAGCATAAATAAATTCTGAAAAGAAAAGGAAGCTTAAATATGTTTTTGTCCTTCAAATTTAGAATAAATTTATTTTTAATCTCTTAAATTTAAAATAACTGTTTTTAGTTTTGTAATTTTCAAAAATCTTGTTATAATTCTTATGTTATTAATAATACATCTGAAAATGTCAAATTAAGTCAGTTATATATCATGAGTTTAATTTAATGTCATATTTTTACTATCAAAGACATCCATAAATAGATTTAATGTGAAAGAATTTGATTAATTTTCTAATAAAATTTGAGTATAAGGATTAAATTTTTTTTTGTTGGGAAATTACAGAGACTAACAATATTTTTTAAAAGTAGATTTTAAATTTGAAAAATTAAAAATAAATTTATCTTAAATTTAACGGTTAAAAATATATTTAAAACAAAAAAATAAATTATTCTTGTTATTTTCTCACTTAGCAATATTACATACTTATGAAATTTTCTCACTTAGCAATGTTACATACTTCTGAAATTTTATATAACTAAAATTCTTTAAATATAAATTCTAATACGGATTCCCAATGATTGGTGTAAAGAAAAGATTGTTCCATTAATGTGATTGATGAAGAAGTCTCATATCATGACTTCCACTGCATATACTAAATACCGCTACATTTACCGTAATCACGTGATTGACACCCATATCACTTTCTATATACATTGTAATTATAGCTCACAGTAATGCCAATACTTAGAGATTAACTAACATCTAATACCCAACTTTAACTTTATTTAAAACAAATTTTTTATCTAAACTTTCACGTAGTTTAAAGGTCTGAAACTCTAAATCCTTGATCTTCATAAATAGCTCTGTCAATCAAGTCATCATGTGTAAAGTTTTTAAATTAAAATGCACGAGGATCAAAATGCTAGTGTTTTACGGGTATTTTATGTTTAAGCAACAGTTTTTAATAATAATAATAATAATAATGGAGTTAGCTAACATAATATGAAGAATGTCTTTAATTTAAGCTCTAAGATATGGTAGCTTATGAATAAAAAATCATTTTTACACTTTCAAAAAAAAAAAATCAGTAAATTATATTCAGAAAAAGATTCAATAAAAGATGTTTGAAATTTTATTATGAGTAAAAATATAGCGAATTGCTTATAGCTTACTTAGAGCATCTCTAATGGAGTTGCTTATAAGCAACTTCCTGTGCCATATCACTGCCACATCAGTTCTGGCCTACTTTATAGGTTGCTTAAATTTTAGCGGGCAACTTATAAAGTGAGCCAGAACTAATGTGGCAGTGATGTGACACAGAAAGTTGCTTATAAGCAACCCCATTACAGATGCTCTTTAAATATGATATATCAACGTAAGGCTCAATAAAATAAAATAACATCACATTGTAGATGTTATAGGTTTAAACTCGTGGGTAATATTCTTACTTTTTTTTAATGAACATAATGTATCAAATTAGAAAATAAGTTTCAACTAATGTCTAACGAAATCAACTAGTTCTCTCACAACATAGTAAACTAAAGTTTGAATTCTTGCTGAAAAAAATATCTACATTTATTGTTTAACCGTATCTCAAATAAGGATAATATGAAAAAAAAAAAAAAGTAAGTCAATTTATGTAATTATTTAATGTTTAAATATTCTATCATTAAAAAACTAATTAATAAGTAACTAGTAATTTAATTATTTGAATTTTGTTCTTTAGCTTCCAAATGCTTCATTATTGCCATCTAAACGGAACTACGTTATTTTGGAATACTTCTGATCCTACCACCATTATCTGAAATTCCTTTTGAAATCCACTTCTCTAGTTTCGTCTTTTTATCTCTCGCTTGTTTTCATCTTCCTTTTATCGGTACTTAGTAATTTCATCTTCCCAGAAATTTGAAATAAGAAATATAATCACATCAAATCATTTACTTGATATAATTAATGACTATTTTTGTATATATATAAAAAGTTGTTGTAGCATTCATTTTCTCGCTTAAAATGGAATTACAAATAGTATTTCAATGCAACATATTTGTTACGAGTAATATGTAATATTGGATATCATTATTACAGGTAATTTAAATTATTTTTGTCTTGTTTGTCGATGTTTAAGGAATTATTATTATAATCTTAACAAGTATTGCAGTCAAACCAAATCCCAGGTATTTTCTCAACTATAAATTCATTCCAAGAATTATTTTCCCATGCATGAATGTTTAAATTTATACATTACGATATAATATAATATTCCTTTTTTTGTGAGAGAAAAAATGACAGAACTAGATGGCACCTCCACAAAATTACTGCATAGGCCTAGTCCACAAGCAGTTTTACTCATCTAAGCTATTCAATTAGCAAGTGGACGCTACCTACTAATTAACTAACATAGTAATACTCAATTCAAAAGATTACTCAACTATTGCTTCGTGTTGGATTAATAACCTGAAGAAACATTAGGTCAGACATCAAATTAACTATGGGACCCACAAACTTTAAAACATGACCAATTCAAATAGTGACGACAACTGAAAATTAGGGACTTCGTTAAATATAGCATAATTACTTAGTCTAAAAAGCTCTTGTGCTTCTTCAAGGTAGTTCTATAAGAAATTATAAGCTTGGAGATATGTGATTTGAAGATGCTCTTTATGTTCTCTCTTGGACAGATTAGATCTGACAATTTTCTTTAGGAAGTTAGATTAATAAGACATTATCATTTTAACAAATATCTACCAAAATTGTAAATTTTGGATATCGGTTTTAGAATGATTTTATTATAGTATAGTGAACAAATAACCTGGCAAGGTGATCAACAGAAGATAGAGAATTCAACATAGCTTCCAAAATTGATACGCAGTTTGAAATCTAAAGAAATTTGAAGTTTTTCTTAGCACTAGAAATCTCATTATATCATTGAATCTGTACCACTTAAGTTTCGTGGGCCATTACACCTTGTGATTTTCAAAGAAAATAAAATGTATTACTACACTAGCATCCCCTCAGCGAATCCATTCAACTTGACCTTTTTCCTTGACGGTTCTAATTGTATACCCCAGATCAAACCAGATTTCAGTAAATGAAGCTGAAATGTCGTCAACTTCAATTTCCTGCCAGACAAAAAATCAAATTACAAAGCTCTACAATCATAAGGTTCAATGCCATTAATCACATCCAATTAAAATGAACAATCCACCCCACTACCTAAAAGTAAAATCTAAAATTACACACATTTCACGCTTTTGAAGAGAAAGTGGATGGTAGAGGATCTGTAAAGTATAAACATGTTACTCTTTGTTCTAAAGGTCTTCGTCTATCAATAGACAACAGCTGCCATATTTCCATCCCAAAACACGGTTTATCAGAGAGGGCGCACTCCCAGATAACATCACTGCTTAAAGTACCCACTGCGCACAGCATCTCCAGGCAGCAGAATATGTAGTCTTTGACGTTGACAGCTAAGCGGGAAATGTTTAGACAAATAAGACTACACAAAATTTTGCTCACTCCTCGTGCGTTAAAATTGTAATCACAATAGCTCCTTGTCATAAAATGCAAGAAGCTGCTTCACATGATTATGCCAGGCAGTTACATTTTGCCCATCCACTGTTACCCAGTCAACCACTGTCGATGCTGGTTGCTCCCACCATTCATCAAGCTGCAGAAGAGGTTACAATTTAATAATAAATAAAAATAAAAGTAAAAATCTTATAGGAACGTGAAAAAACCTACCAACTAGAAGAAATATCAAATTAAACAACTTTCATGATTATTTGCTGTTTCAGCAATATGTGAATTAGACATTGAGCTTAAGTTGCATCTGAACTAAACACACAAGACTAGACATGTTACAAAACGGGGGTGTGAAGAAGAGTAAGCATCATATGGAAAAAATTGCATCTAAAACTCATTCCTGAATTCCGGATATTATATTTGGTTTGGATTGAGAAAGAAAAAAAAAAAAAAAAGAGAAAGAAAATGAATAAAAAAATTGAATAAATATTAAGGTTGTTTGGTATAAAAAGAAATATAAAGTGACGAGAAAGAAATGCTTAGTATTCTGTTGTATTAGTTTATCAATTCGCAATCTATCAAATGGAATAAAGAGTGTATCTCTTCTCTCGGCACTTGAGTTGAGGGAGGAGTTTTGATGTGTTCCCCATGTGAATTGTTTCTTTCTCATCTGTTTCTATGTTGTTCCAAACTAAGGAAAATACATTTATAATTGGGTTTTCTTTCTTGGCTTTTTTTTTTTCTTTACAATTTTCCTTGCAACAAACAAAGCATCATGGTAATAATAACAATGTAACTCACCAATCCCCTGACATATTTGCAATCTTCCAAGCTCTGCTGAGCATTCAAAACAGCAGTCTTAAGTTCAGGCAACCATTTTTCCATGGTAGTTTTCTCCTGTTCAGCAGCCAAATTCAAAGAAAAACTTGTAGTCCTGCATCATTATATCAAACATTCAAATTTCAAAAAAGAAGAAAAGGTTTTCAACAAATTCAGATTGTCTCTGAAAAAGAAGGAAAAATGAATTAACTACATCTTTCTCTTGCCAATATATAAATTTGAATCTACTAGAAATATTACCACGAATGCACATTGGATTCAGGAGTTAGATACATATTTACCTTTCATATTCTTGTTGAACAAAGTCGGCATGGTTCAACAAGGCATTGCCACTTTGAAGAAGATCCCGTCTAATATAGACAAGATTAATAGCCTTTAATAAATCTTCCAACACACTAGCTTCAGAACCACGAAGTTTCAAACAGAACTCCAGGGACTCCAGCACAGATGCTAGACCAGCATCTGAACCCTCCAAGCCTGTCCATTTTACAGGAAAAACATTTAATATACAATGATAGCTTTTAGGCCCCATAAAGCATTCCACACACAAAAAAGCCATATACTCTTCAAAATTCAAATTGCGAGTTAATGAAATAATAAGATGTAGTAAATACATTTATGTGAGACAACAAAAGATCAAATCTATTTTTATGATTGTTTTGAAAGTTTGACACCATTTTATTATGCCATTTCAAATACTATAATATCAATTATCAATTATATTAATACATTGGCAGGCATACCCAGATATTTCATTCAGAACGACATTTTTACTACAAAAATAATTGGTTTTTAATGTATTCTATCAACTAACTAAATTATGTTTATCTTGTTTAGATTTAGAAAAAAAGAGTTTAAAGTAAATTATTTGTCCCAACAAAATAAAAACACAAGAATATAGCCATACTCCTGTCAAAGGGGGAACGGAAGACTACAAGAGTTGTAGTTTCTATTTACAAAGGCCATTGGCTATTCGTTTGTGCTATAGCAATTACTTAAGTGACATTTTACAATGACAATCTATTAATCCGTCTATGGGTACACCAGGAAAAAAGCCTATCAGCAAATCACAAACAATAATACACTCACCAGAAGGATACTGAAGTGCAGCTGAAATGCGACATATTGACGGAATTGCTGATGGATCCCGAGCACCAGCTCTTGCAGTCAAAATAGCTGCACTTATTTCTGCATTTGCAACTGCTTCCTGGCCAGGTGGTCCACTAGCACCCATGGCCTCAAGCAATGCCTGAACCAGAATTGAAGACAAAATAAGCTGAAGCACATCTCAACATACATCGACAATTAAAATATTTAAAGAAAATTTCTGAAACCATTTAAGTTCACTGACAAATACTGGTTTAGAATTAGCAAAAGCAGACAGTCCTTATTGCAGAAAGAATGTCCTTACCAATATCAACATGATACATGGCCAGAGATCACAAATGTACAATAGAAATGAATCTCCTCAATACACTGCAGGTATTCAAGAGACCTGGACTTTAGGTACCAATTCCCAGTATAAAACTAAAGATTGATCTCTACACTGATATTCAAGAGACCTTGCCATTTCTACATCTCTAACTAACTAACTAACTAGTTTAATTGGGATCTGCTAACATTCATTTTTCTTAAAAGATTTTAAGATTAGTCACAGATTTAAGTTGCACTTTGCATCACCCAAACCCTATTCAAATAATCTATCAACCCCAAATGAGAGAGATGATAAGTTTATTTAAATGGGATTCAGAGCATCCCAATACAAAGAACCAGTTGGCTAACCAAGTGGAATGGGTCTGCCTTGTTACTTTGGAGCAGCAGTTTCTAATTATTCATTACAAAGTTTCTGGTAAAAGCAAGGAGGCTGAAAATCAGTGGCAAAGTGCAGTTTATACAGTTCCAAGGTGTATTTGGTTGGAGTGCAATGCGCATATCTTTCAGGAAATATCTTCCCCCCAAACTCTCTATAAGGTAGTATTTATAACTAGGACTTGTGTCTGCTTCAACACAAGTTTCCATTTTGCATATGCATGGGAGGTTGAGCAAGCTTGCTTCGTTTTTAGTTTTTTATTAATCAATCCATGTTCCTTGATGATATCTTAACTTTTCCTTCCCCAACCCACAAATTACACTTCTTTTATATAAATAAATGCTTTCAATCCAACAAAAAAGAGTGGAATGTGTGGAACACTAGACACTGAATCTGATCAAGTTTATATTTAAATAAACTCAGAACCTTTGACACCCAAAAGCTAGAAAAAAGAAGATTCAAAAGTAGACCATGTATTATACTGACATGCTACATGAAAACCCAAAATTCAGGACATTATTTCAATTCTAACATATTTTATACTGAACAAACATGTGAACAAGTTGTCTCTTGGAGCATTATAAACCTGTGGAGAAGAAGGAAGCATGTAGAGACTATTATCTGGACTTCGATAGAACGTAGACACTTCTTTCTCAATGAGATCCTTTGCGCTATTTGAAGCCTCAGCAACGGCAGCACATGCTGGAATTATAGTGCTTGAAGCATATTCCCTCGCAGTTAATGGTTGCTGACTCCAAAATGAAGCAGCATCCTGCATTAAGTAAAAGATACAAAAATTAAAAATAAGAAAAACAACAAAAACTAAGATCAAAGAACTGATTAAAAATACAAGAACAAAGATGTGTTCAAATCAATTTTGTAACCTATGGGAAATGAATAGCATCAAGGCCCAGTAGGAGCAATATATATAAACCTTGAACAAATAATCACTGACTCAGTAATCAATGCACATAACATATCACAATAAATGCATCGATAAGCCCACACAAACAAATCTTTTAATGGATAAATCAAGTTTAAAATCAGTGAATATTCTAAAGATTCAAACAGGGTATCACCATTCACAAGGATAAGCTGTAGATATACCAGTATACCACAGTTGAGCTTCACTAATACAGGAAGTACATAAATATTCAAACATTACCATATTTGCTTTAAGGAGTGCTGTATATATGGTCTCAAGTTCTGATCTACGAGCATCAAACTCTTCAATCTTTTTCCATTTCTTTTTCAGAGAATCTTCAGCTTCTTTCCTCTCAGCACACAACTTATTCAAGCGTTGTATTTCAGACATCAAGGTATTTAAGCTTGCCTTCAAACCAGCAACTTCTCTTTCCTTGGCCCAAACATCTAACTGAACACATGGAAAAAAATATGCAGAATAGAAGTCAAAATGTTTATGTGAAAAATATTTCTAGCATTAAGAAATGGATAAAATTGAAAGGGCCAAAAAGTTTTATCCTTTTTTCTTCCAACTTTTAAGTTGTAAAAATCCTAAATAAAAATGGAAAAACTAAAAAGGGGAACCGAAATAATTTAGTTGAAATAGAAAGCAAAGATACCTCAAAGATAAATTCTTTATTCCCCCAAATTAAATGCTGATATAAAAAAAATATTTCCGCGATTAAACATGTTTGGATGTCCCTAATTTAGACATAGTAACAACAATAATAAATCTTAGATACACAAGTGTTTCTAATCCCCAGGTTTTCTAAATTTGATTTTAATGGGAACATCAAAGTTCAGACTTCAGAATCTTCCCCAGTGAAGAAAATAAAATGTGTTACTTTATAACAACACTAGAATACTAAGTCAGTTTCATGGATGTTGGACTCGAGGCTCAAGGGATGAACACACAGAATTTATTTGAATAATGCTGAAATAGTAGGCCAGATTACAAGTACAGATACAACATCACAGGGTTTCTCCCTGACAAGTTGTCTCCTGTATGTATAACTAACACAAAAAAATATACTGTCTAAATTCATCCACAGTAATAGAACCCTTAAAAGTTAAAACCACCCTACAATAACTACCCAGTACCCACACAATAAAATATAACTGTAATACATAACTGTCTAATACTCTCCATCAATGCTGACATATTTTTCCTAAATGGCCTTGGATTGTTTGACCAATGAATGGACTACATTAAAATAATTAGATGTGAAGAGACCAGAGATAATTTGTCACAAAAACAAATCTTTAGTACTTTTGTTTCTTTTCTCTGAAACAAAATTTCTCCTTTTGCCAAAAAAAAAATGCCATATAAACTAATCAATCAAGTACAACGTATGTTAAGCATTAACAGCTAAACAATATACATCATATAACATATACATGTAATCTTTACGAAAGACTGCCTAACAAAATTTTAACAAAAAGAAAATAACAATCTGCAAGGAACCCAAAAAGAGAGAATAATGATTAACCAGTCACCCAACTAACTCAGCTACCCAGTATCCACTAAACACCAATCCATTTGGTATTCTTTATTTCTACAAGGGTATCCGGGCTTTGCTGATTCTGTCAGGGCCTAGGCCTGCCACAATCTTGAAGTATTTGATTTGTAAGTTGTAAGTTGTAACACTCAATAAAGAAAATTTGCAGTGGTTTAAGCATTAATTCTTCCTATCATAATTCATAAGTTATGCTGCCAAAACAATATCCATCAATACTCCAGGCTCAACGTTTCTAATTTCTCTAATGACCTGTCAATGAGTGAAAATTCTTCCCACCATACATGTTGGTAATCTAACTACTGGTTATTTATTGGAAGAAAGCTTGCAAGCAGTGATTTAAAACCCGGATCGAACCGGCCGGTCGGACCGGGAACCGGTGGTCCAGCCGGTTCGAATCTTAAGTTGGATCGGTTATGCAGTCGACCCGTTTCAAACCGGATTGAACCGGTCAATTTTCCGATTCAACCGGTGGGTCAAACCGGTTTAACCACTTTTTTTTTTTTTTAAGGGACCATAAACCACAAAAAATAATAATGAAAATTGAATCTCTTAATGGAAGAACAAAGAGTCTTATTAAATATAACAATAACTACTTGTTCTAATGTATTTGTTTGTAATATATACAACTTAAATAACTTTTATAGTATATTATTAATTTTAAATTATATATTTAATAATGCAATATCTATGTAAATATTACATATATTATTTTGTGATATTAATTGCAAGCATATTATATATGTACATATTATTTATATTTTTAATTTGTATTAATATACCGTTTAACATGTAATTTTTTTATGTATTTTTTTACAAAATAAAAATAAAAATAATTTTAAATAAAATAGAAAAATTGAAATTTAAAATAAGATATGAATTTATTAAAATTTATAAGTATAAAATATATTTAATATGAATATTTTTTAATAAAAATTGAGTCATATGGTTCAACTAGTGACTCACCGGTTCAACCTTTGACCCACTGACCCAGTACCTTAACCGGTTCGATGACCGGTCCGGTTTTTAAAACTATGCTTGCAAGTGATAGTATCATGAACAAAAGTGAAACAAATTCAAAAAATATATAACTCACTTAAAAAAGAACCTAATGCACTGTAAATTTTTCATAATAATACCTCAAGTTGCCTAAGACTTCCAACATTTTGGGATGTGCTTCCAATACCAATTGACCGTGAAGAAACATCAGTGCCTCCATGCAGACGTTTCACAAGTTTTTCACACATGTCCCTTGCTTCTGCAGCCTTGTTAAGTGCATCTTCAGTAGCCAAAAATTGTTGAACATGAGCTTTCTGATAACAGATACAGCACTAGTTCAATAACTCCTTTTATTACAACAAAATATGTAGTTTAAGGATGAACAAAGACCTGTCTATCAAGAAGCTGGTTTTGACTCCCTCCTGGAGGCACATCAACCCCAATCTTTCCATTGCCATAAAGTTGATACTGTAGAGGAGAGCTCCCATCAGATGTTGAAACATCCATAACTATGTTATTTTCATATTTGTACCTGATTGAAGAATGCAAGTTCAGATTATAACAGCAACAACATATTTAATACCTTCATTAATAAAAAGAAACTAATACAGCTACTTCATACAGACTATTGATCCTGGTTGGGAGGGTAACTAAATCAATGTATGCATCTTTGGCATGCTTTGCCAATATAACATTTGTGACAGAATTCTGGAAAGTTATAGTAACAATAGTTAATGATAGAAGGTTCAAATTTCAAATGTGGTCAGAGGCATCAAGAAGAGCACCAACAGAACATGAAAAACAAAATTATGTATATTATGATACCTTAAGGTCTCTGCATCCGCTCTAACATCAATTTTCTCTATTTCTCTGGAGATTAGACTTTTCAGCCGCAAAGTATATGCTGTCATTGCCTGAAGCAATTGGGGAGGACTCTTTAGGCAATTTATAATAACAGTTCTAACCTCATCAGGAATTTGCCCATCAAAGTCAAACCCCAATTTTGCTGTTTCTGCCTGAGGATTTAAATGAATGCCACTTCCTTCATAAGCAGGAAAAGAACTCCGTATTTTTTCAACCATGTGATCTACAAGAGATTCACAAGCCTTTCTAATATTCTTTTCCCTCGTGGTTTCAATGAGAACAACATCATCTGCAGATTTACTGCCCTTAACAGTAGAATAAACAGCTTCCTTCTCACTTTTGGCACTAAAACTATTGGCCATTTCAACAGAAGAATCCACACCTGATCTTTGCGAATCCATTGCTTGGTTTACATAGTAACAGAGACGTTTATGATATTCAGCAAATATTTTGGCAGCCTCATCACACTGTCTATCATAGGCCTCCAACATCACTTGCTTATGCCTGCACAATGGGTAAAGACGTGAACTCGTCATTTCTTTTCCCCTCTTTCAAAAATATTATTGGTACAGAGACAAAAGCACATAAAATGATATAATAATCTCGGAAACACTATACTAACAACATCTCATTTTCATCTTATTTTCTTCTCTCTCTCTTATCCATCACATCACTAATCACCTTTAACATATTCTCTTTCTTTCCTTTTTTTCCTTTCTATCTCTTCCACTTGTACACCCAAAATAGAGTGTGTTTTTATCAAAACTCTTAAACTTCTGCAATATAAAACAAAGAGCTATACTTGCTCTTCTATCTCATTTCCACCCCCCATTTTCTCTTATCTGTCTCTTCAACTCTCATCATATCATTTATCACTTTCTCTTTCTTTATTTATTTTTCCTTTAAATCTCTCGCTCCCTTCCACCTATGCATCACAACATTCATCATTTTCCCGAAACAAATCATTTTCTACATTACATTAGCATTTTTCATTCATATTATGTGACCTAGAGAACAAGAAATATGAAAAATCCACTACAACCAACCAGAATGAAAATAGTAAATAGTATATTATGCACAAGCAAAGGAATTTTACACTTCCATTCGAACATAAATTGTCATGTATAATAAGTTTGTTAAGTCTTCTGACTGGTTGTTGACAATGTAAGATTATTTACACCGAGAAGCCATAGAAACTAAACTCGAAAGAAAATTACTAACAACATATATACATTGTGAAAATTTTAGGGCAAAATTGAGAAAGCGAAACCTGTAATTGGCTCGTTCATCGAGCATTCTCTTCCTCTCAGCCTCTTCTCTGGAAACCTCGAGCATCCTCGCCCTCAAATCCTTCCTCTGCCTCCTCACCATGTTTCTCAGCCTCTCCACCTCCTTCGCCGCCAAATCCCGCTCCTGCAACGCCGCCTCCCTCGTCGTCGTCTCGGAACCCTCGCCGGCGAGCGCCC